CATGCGGCCGACGCTGCCATTCAACTGCCGGCTTGCCGACTCGTCGCACTCACGACTGGGCTGCGTTTCAGTCTCCATCACGTGAGCCAGCAGTTCGTTGATCGACGCGTTCGAGGAATAGAGCATGTCCAAAGACGGCCACACAGAATAGTCGTCCAGGTTGGCGGTGGAGTTCCAGGCATACCGCTCGTCCAGCGACGGGAAATTGTGACTGTCCGAGACCGTCCCTTTGAATTGTCCATTGCAGGCGGTCGAGCTGATCTCAAGCGACACGTACTTCTGCTTGATCGCGTCCGTGTCCAGCAGGCCGGCTTCGCCAATGTTGTCCAGCCTCTCGGCAAAGGACTGCCATCCAGAATAGTCGCCCACGTTGCTGCCGGCAGCCACCGGCAGGTTGTTGCTGGTAGGCACCAGGATGGGCTCGGTCGCACTGTTCCCGAAGATCCAGGAGTCGCTCTCCTGGGCCCCCAGGGCCAGCCCGTTCACGCAGGGCTCGATAGATGCACACTCCTGCTTCACCCCGTTGGCGTCCAGCAGGCTGGGCTGCTGGATGCTGACCAGGCTCGAAGCAATGGCCGGATCGGCTAATGCCTCATAAACCTGCTCAGGATCCTGCACGCTCGACGTCGCAAAGCTGGAGTTCTTGTCATGATCGGCGGAACTCAATCCGCTATCTATGTTGAAGGAGAAGTGGTCGAAGGAATTAATGCTCCTCTCCTCCAAAATGGCCCCTCCGGCCGCCTTTTTCTTCTCCTGGGGCGGCGTGGTCGCCCCCTTCGGGGATCGCTTCCGCTTGGGGCTTTCAGCAAGCGGCGCAGCCTCGCGATGCTTTTTGCTGGGCGAGGGTTTTTTCGCCTCTCGGGGTGGCTTGATCGCGCCCAGTACGTTCGCGATTGGTCGCTTGGGGATTTTACCAGCCTCCCGGTGCTTTTTGCTGGTGGGGGCTGTGTGCTTTTTCTCCTCTTGGAGCTTGATCGCACTCAGCCCCATCCGCGCTGGTTCCGGCTGGGGGCTTTCAACCTTCTTTGGGGCCTCCTGCGGATTGGGGCTTTTGGGCGCTGCAGCGCTTTGCTTGCCCTTG